TGCCGTCGTCGTAGAGGAGCGGCGGCGGCGGCTGAAGGCTGGCGTTGGCGTGGGCCTGGGCGTTGGCGTCGGCGTCGGCGAGCGGGTTGACGTTGTGCGAGCGGAGAAACGCGATCTCCCGCTCGACGTCCGGCGGGTAGAGCGGCAGGCCCGCGCGCTGCCGGCGCTTGAGGCGCGTGTTCCAGTAGTTCTTGATGTCGTTGTCCGTCCTCCCTGGGAGCTGCATGCATGCGAATGCGATCGATCGAAGCCAAAGAAAGACGACGATGAGTTCTTCACGGCGTGCAGCATGGCGGATCGGAATTCTCCGAAAGAAACTGAACAAGACGCTGGGACAGGCAGGGACTCACGTAAGAGGAGATGCGCGCCCACTTGTTGCCGTAGAGGCCGTGGAGGAGGAGGATGTGGCGCTCCTCCTCGGGGGAGAAGGGGCCCTTGCGGAGGTTGGGGCGGAGGTGGTTGGCCCACCGGAGGCGGCAGCTCTTGCCGCAGCGCTGCAGCCCCGTGTCCCGGCGCACGGTGTTCCAGTCGCCCTCGCCGTGCCGCCGCACGTGGTCCACCAGCAGCTTGTCCTCCGCCTGCGTCCACGGCCCCTTCTTCAGCCCGGCGCCACCGCCGCCGCTGGCTCCTCCTTCCACCCCGCCGCCTCCGCCGCTCCTCGCCATCGTCGTTCCGTCCGCCAGCTTAGTCGTGGCCTTCTCTCGTCTCTCCTCCCCTCTCAGCCCCGGGAACAGGGCAGAGAGCGAGAGAGCGAGAAGACGGCGGTCAGTTCCTCCGGCGAATGGGCCGGGGAGAGGATCGGAGCTTCAACAACCACGCACGCGAAAGGTGCCCCGGCCGCGCCTAGGCCGCCGGCCAGCTAGTCCAGGCTCCCGGAGCGCAGCACGCAGCCATGCAAATGCGACGCAACCTCGCGCACCGGCGGGTTGCTGCAGCTGGGAACAACGAACGGGCACGGCGGGTGGTGGTCGGTGGGGGGCGACGGCCTTCCGCCCCTGGGCCGGCGGAGGGAAGGAGGGGGGAGGGCGAATTGAAGGGTGAGAGGCGTGGTAATGGCGGCAGAGCGCGGGGGCGCGGGACGGAGGGGGGAGGGTGATGAGGTGGGCGGTGCAGCTCCCGGATCGCCCCGCGAAGCGCTCGTCGCCGCGCCTATTTTCGCGCGGCTGCGGTTGGCGTGCATGGTGTTTGCGTGCGGAAAGATATGATCTTTTGTTTAGAGCCGTTGCATGGCATCGGCGAGATCGCAGGAGCTTCCACCCTGTCCACAGTCGTGTCCGGCTATGTAGCCAGCCTGACTCTCTCGCTCATTCTCTTTAGGCACATCGATCTGCTGCTTCTAGATGACATTGGATCACTATATTCATGGGGGAGTATACAACGAGGATCACCATATATCTAATGTTGGTTGTTAATAATTATTAGTAAAAATTAGATGATAATGTGTAGGGAGTACTAAGATTTTGTTTTTGAAAAAATTGCTTTTAAGATTTGTGTTTAGCCATAGATTCACAAGTGATGATGAGGAACGGTTGAGAGAGGACAACTAGATGAGATCAAGATGGTGGATTTTTTAGAAAAAATATATTTTCTTTAAGATTTGTGTTTCACCATAGATTCACACAATGATGAGAATAAGAGAGGGCAAATGGAGGAGATCAAGACTGTGGGTTGTGTATTACTGTTACAAACAACACACATGTGGGAGTTATGTGAGGTATAACAAAGGGGTTGGTTTTGCATTAGGGGAGAGAGAGGTTCGACTAGGGATCAAGCAAGCCCCCTCCTATGGTTGCCGCAAGCTTGGAGCCCAAACTAAATCCCTATGTAAATTTGTAGCCATGGAAGCCTACAAGAAGGGGCTACATGTAGAGATGAGAACGAGCCCTTACTAGTACTAGTATAGTATCCGTGCTAACGCTACGATTTTATTTTAGGATGCACATGAAAACAACCAAATGACAATATTTTTTCATAGTTTATGTTTCACGCAATTGTATATGAAGAAAACGACACATGCATAAACGAGACATAATAAAGTCATGTCTCGCCTCAACCGTCTAACTTATCACTACTGGAATCGCGGGATTTGCCTAGTGCCGCAGGCACTAGGCAAAGGCCCAGAAACACTAGGCAAACAGTTTGCCTAGTGTCACACTAGGCAAACAAGGGTCGGCAGAGGCGGACTAGGCAAAGAGCACTTTGCCGAGTGTCAAACCTCGGACACTCGGCAAAGTGTTTACCTAGTGTCAAGGACACCACTCGGCAAAAGTATTCCACTGACGGTGGAAATCGTAACAGACGTTTTGCCTAGTGTCGGAGGTCTGACACTCGGCAAAGTATGCAAGGTTTGCCTAGTGCCAGGCGTCCGACACTAGGCAAATATGTCAAGCTTTGCCTAGTGTCAGGCCGCCTACACTAGGCAAATATGTCAAGCTTTGCCTAGTGTCAGGCCTCCGATACTAGACAAACTGTCTACTTTGCCTAGTGTCAGTTTCCTGACACTAGGCAAAGCCTGTTCCCAGGTGTGCCACGTGTGGCCCCTTTGCCTAGTGTCAGACCCCTGACACTAGGCAAACTAACCAGAAGCTGAATTTTTTTTTATTATTCCATTTGCGACACAAATATAAATCATATTCAAACACCACAAATATATCACATGAATCATAAATAAGAACCACATGTTCACATATATCACATGTTCATACCAAAAGTCCAAATGTGCCACAAGTTCACAAGTTCATAAGTGCACAACCAAATTTCTTAACAAAGTTCACAACAAGCTGATCACTACGATTGTCAAGGGTGAAGAGGCCCGTGGTTTGATGCTCCAAGCGACCCTTCCACTTGATTCGGCTCAAAGCTGTGGTGCCATGACGCTCAATCTATGAAGCCGTGACCCTTCCACTTGATTCGGCTCAAGGTTTGTAGTCTTGCGGACGCTCAATCTGTGAAGCCGGCAACCCTCAATTTGATTCGATGCCACGCCCGATTGATGCTGAAAAAATGAAAAGGATACCGTCAATAAAAAATTTTGAGAACCTCCTCGCTGCGGAGAGGTTTCCAAAACCCAAGAAGAAAACAAACGGCACGATGACCGTCAAGAACATACATATCAATACACCGCCACCAACACCACCACCACCCGAACACCACAACTGCCACCACCACACCACAACAACAACCGCCGTCACCACCAACACCATATTGTATGTTTGAGATTGCATATTTTTTCTAGTGTGCCCTATGTCAGGTTGGAACATAATAAGTAATATATTGGTACTCACAGGAGTACCTCTGCTCTTTTCTCACCTTCTTTTTCCTGCAAATAAAAACAAAACGAATTAAGACGTCTAAAAATTTCGGCAGCACCTCCCCTGTACGGTGAGATTCTCAAAACCTGCAATGAACCAACGGCACGATGGCCGCTAAACACATATATATCAAGGGAAGCAATTACATCTACTAACACAACAACAACTAGTACTAACACAATCACCGCCAACATCATCATTTATCCATCCTATGCATATTTGTTTCACTACTTCTCGTACACCATGCACTACAAGAAATGTGTGGCTTTTTGACATTCTATTAAGTCATAATATATGGAATTTATGTCACAATTTAAGTTTTTTGACATCCAGTTGACGAAAATCCAAACGTCAAAAAACCACCGTCACAAATTTATCACATGACACTCAGTTTGCAGCTATTGTCAATGTCATAAAATTAAAATCTGGACTGTTAAAGCCCACATAGTAAGCAGGCTTATAATGGGCCAAGCCCATTGTGTGGTCTGTTTTTTTCATACTTGCCCATTAATTGTTTTAAGATTTTGCAGCCCAATTTTTTTTACGCCTCAGATTAATAGCCCATGAAGATTTATGATTTTCTGGCCCAACAGCCCATATAGATCAAATATCAGCCCAGCACATGTCGATAAAAAATATTAGCACAACCTATTTATCATCACAAATAGGCTAGCCAGGCAGGAAAAAAAAAACAGATTACAACGCATATAGGCCCAACTCAAAATCTTCCATTCATGACCAAGTCAGCAGGTTAACAGGCAACACATTCAATGTTACATTCATCACCAAATTCACGGTCCAACAGAAAACGAAAATGACAGGTGTCAGCACATAAAAGAACACAAACTCGAGATCCTTAGGCTATTAGAAACCTGAAGCTGCAATCATGTGAGGAAAATAAAAATAAAAATAAGCTTTAACTAACTGCAGGTCGCGTTCTGACCAAATCTTCCTTCTTAAAACACTTATATACTATCTGGATGGTTAGTTAAGATGTGCATATATGAATATATCTGCTACCAGCAGTACTTAATTTCATTATCCACGCTCAGTCAACAGATGCTTAAGATTGAATGGTTACTCTTCCAAGATCAGTTGATACTAATGGAATCTGACAACTCAAAGTAAACATGGAACAATATCCTAGGCAGCATTGTAGCATATAAATAAAGCCAATGCTTTGCAAATATTTCAGATGCATTGATCTGAAGCTTTCATACCCGAGCTAACTACTGTGGTACCACAGAATAGAAACCATTGAACATCACACGTTCCTAGCTAACTAAAAATGGGATTGTACCATGAACAGACAACAATAGTATTTATAAATTATTTACAAGCCATGAAACTATTAGAAAGTATCAACTGATCTTGCATATTTGCATAACACAGTAAGAAAGTTGAAACAACAACTCGTTGGTTTTGGCTTCTTACAATGTAGAGATCAAGGTAATCCAGCTGTAATCCTTGAGTGTGTTCTGAAGTGCTGACCGAACCTTATCAGGAACCAACTCTGTGCACCTGAAGTTGTCAAATATTGATCACATTTTGCATTTGGAGTGTTAATTGATGACATTTTGGTATTCAGTCGATTACTAGTTTTGTACTTCCGAAGAGACTAGCGTCGCCATTCACCTAAAGTTTCAGCTATAATGATTATCAACCAAACGGCATAGTGAGAGTACGAGGATGTGCATTACAGTACCTCGGAATGGAAGGAAGCAGGAGCGCACAGGGGAGGACGAGGAAAGCTCGAGTGCTGCCACCGCCCGCCTTGCGCTGACGATGGATCTAGCACGTGCGTCGCCGGATGCACAGTGGCCCGCTGCTCATGCACGAGGCTGCCGCCATGCTCGGGCGCCGCCACCTCCCGCCTCGTGCCAGTGCCGGATCCGGCATAGCCCTTACCGTGCGCCGCCGAATCCTGTCCGTGGTGGATCCATCTGCCGCCTCTCCTGCCACGGCACGGCGGTCAGGGGGCTCTGGCTGCCTCCGCTCTATTCGTCAAGTAGGGCCGACGCATCCTGCGGCCTCCAGTTCTTGCTGACCGTGAGGGAGAGGTGAGTGTGGCACAGCGCAGGATTAGACCATTGGGGGCGGCAGCTGGCGGCTGGTGGATAGGAGGAATCGAGGAAGCCGCTCTGCTGCGGCTCTGCGTCTCACGACGGGGAGAAGAGAAAAGGAGGCGCAGGAGAGGGGTGGTGGTCTGGTGGTGGTGGAGTACAGGAAGAGGGTAGGGTTTCGTGGGTTTTATACGAAGTATAGCGTATATGGACCGTCCCTTTTGAGATCTAACGGCTGAGAGAGAGGGGTCTTGATTTGGGCTGAACCTGAGCATCATTTTAAGGCCCAACATGTCTCATATTTTTTCCATTTTAATCATCACAATTAAATCATAATAACTATGGTTTACATGATACTTATGTGTTCAACATAATTTTTACATTAACTAGACTAGCTAAGAGGTGTTGTCTAGGATTGACAAGGGTTTTTGAAGTTATTTGCTATTTCTTAAGGTTTAAGTCATTTACTGCACGATTTTGTAAATTAACTCCAACTTAAACTACATGTCATGTCAAACAATGTCTCAAAAGACAAAAATATATATAAGAATACATGTTTTTTTTGAGCTCACATCCTGAAAATTGGTGAAAATGAAGTGTTTCTTAGGCACTGGGCAAATATGAATGTTTTTGAACTATGAAATTTTTTAAAAAAATAAAAAAACACTCAAACAATATAAACTGAAAATTAACTTTGCCGAGTGTCGATAACCCAACACTAGGCAAACACTATAAAAAATAAGTTTGCCTAGTGTCTTCCATGAGACACTAGACAAAGAGGCCAGTTTGCCTAGTGTCTAGCTGGCACACTAGGCAAACTTATTTATTTTTTTTCAATTTTGGTCTTCAAACTTTTTATCGAGCCTCCCTACATAAAATGAGACTACATGTTGAAAGTTGGCACAATTTTATGAAATTTTGCTATATTTCTTTAGTTTATTTAATTTCTTTGAATTTTTTCAACAAATGCAAATTTGAACTGCAAGTGTGTCGAATAATGGCAATTCATGAATGCAAAAATGATATTCATGTTAGTAAGTGTTAGTTGAGGCCGTATGCAGAAACAGACCAAAAATTTCACACATCTTCACGTCGAGACATGACCACGAACTTGCGAGCAAATAGTTTTTAAATTCTATTAAATGAAAGCGAATCTGAAATTCATGAAACTTGTCGACAAGTTAAGGTGCCATGATAAAAATTTAAAAAGATTTCGAGCACATCGTCACGTATGATCACATGTGGAGATGTTAGGGTTTCTAAGCATCATACGTGACAATGTGCTCGAAATCTTTTTAAATTTTTATCATGGCACCCGCATGCGATATCTTGACTTGTCGACAAGTTTCATGAATTTCAGACTCCGTTTTCATTTAATAGAATTTAAAAACTATTTGCTCGCAAGTTTGTGGTCATGTCTCGACGTGAAGATGTGTGAAATTTTGGTCTGTTTCTAGATACGGCCTCAACTAACACTTACTAACATGAATATCATTTTTGCATTCATGAATTGCCATTATTCGTCACACTTGCAGTTCAAATTTGCATTTGTCGAAAAAATCAAAGAAATTAAATAAACTAAAGAAATATAGCAAAATTTCATAAAATTGTGCCAACTTTCAACATGTTGGTCAAGGTATAGTAGGAAAGCTACAGAAAAAATTGGAAGCTAAAATCAAAAAAAGAAAAAATATTTTGCCTAGTGTCTCTGTAAGACACTAGGCAAACTGGCTAGTTTGCCTAGTGTCGTCCGGAGACACTAGGCAAAGTTCTAATTTTGCCGAGAGTGTTAACGGAAGACACTCGACAAAATGGTAAGCAATGATTGCCCTCCGGCAAGCCTTTTGCCGAGTGTGATGGTATGCCTAGTATTGACACTAGGCAAAATGGTCATTTACCGAGTGGATTTCTTTGCCTAGTGTCGACACTCGGCAAATTGTTATTTTGCCTAGTGCCTTTATTTTGCCGAGTGCTCCGGGGTCTAACACTCGGCAAACAAGCTCTTTGCCTAGTGTCCGACGATTGGCACTAGGCAAACCATTAAACACTAGGCAAATCTCGGTTTTCCAGTAGTGTATGATTTGCTTAATTAGGTCTTGGAGTTGTACAGGAATATTGTCTCCACATTCATTTACACTGTTCTTCAAAATGTCCACCAAGAATTTCGTCCTCAGTGAATGTGACGGTGATAGCATTTGCACGGACTCAGTCAATGTGATAGCTGAGTGTGTAAATAGGTAATACACCTTTGAAGCATGAAGCCAATAACTGCATAAATAGATTACCACATGCGACACATTATATTGATTATAGGCAAGTGTTTGTACAGCTAGCAATAAACCCCACCGACCCGGAGCCATGTGCCATGGCACTTCGTGGATCCACGTTCGCCGCCTATGCGCAAGGTCGCGCGACGCACGGGCCGCCCTCGTCAAGCTCGTCCTCGTCGTGCTGCCCTCAAGCGCAATGTCGCCATGTCCTGCTTTGCCTCGCTGTCAGCGTGCTATGACGAAATACAAAACAAGATAAAATTTGTAAAAAAAAAATAAAACAAACAATCCTTAGAGGAATGCAGAATTACACTAACCATTATTTGCATATAGTCCACTTCAGCACATAACAACTCATTAACTTCTAGCCTTTGACAATTTGAGAAACAATTCACTGCAAGTAGAGCTAGCATTGATTTATGGAAACATTAATACAGAATACAGAACACAAGCATATTGTAATGTAAACCCTAGACAAGGAATGTCACAAAGTTTTGATTAAATTGCCCTAGACCATTAGTTACATTTTTGGAAAAGTACTACTCTACTATTCGACTTGCGAGATGAGCACAACAAGCGAGAATAGCGAGATATTCAAATCCTTAAAAGCAGTGGACTGTAAAAATAAAAATAAAATCCATTCCTTGAGCATGCCCTAGTATCTCAAATCTCAGGATGTTACAACAAAAAATGCTATCTTACCTTGAGCAGCCCTGCTATGATTGGCAACATATCAATTTGTATGCCAACATAGAAACTGACCTCTGAAACCGACCTTGAGCCATAAGATTTTCTAGATGCGATGTAGATTTTACGGTGAAAAGCAGAGAAGTTCCATGCTAAGTCACGATGGGTTTTCTGAATTTACCTCTATCTTATATAGGAGCGAGAATGATGGAACCCAATGTCTTCATCAAGATCAGAAGCAAAGGCTAATAAAATTAACAAAATTAATAAGAGAGCTGAGTAGTTGACAACCCATAGAACCTCATTGGCATGCAGGTACATAGTAATTTTTTGTTGATGCCAGGGGACAGCTTATATGATTTGGACAGATCACCGACCTTAACGAAGACATAACTAAGGCGATCAAAACCAATACTGTGATCAATGTATCACAAGGTTGTATGTAAGGACCGATTATCCTTTTTAATCTATCAAATTATATTATTATGGCACTGAACAATGGTCGTATGTCTTCACAACCTTACCCAAACAAAGTATCAGTTCTTAAAAGCAAGACAGTCCCGTGCGATCTCATAAATATCTGATCATGCAGTTTCTTTATGCATAAAAATTATACCTACATCAGTCTAATTCAAGTGGACGCAGCTGCAAGCAATGTAATGTACTATTAGTCTACTATATGCAAACTATAAATGGTGAGTATGTTCAACCTCAAAGCCCAGCTACGTCTGAACCCAGCTACGTCAGAGCCCCTAACTGAAGTCCACAGTATGAATGGTGAGTATGTTGAAGAACCCTAGGTTCAGGAAAGTAGCAATCTACTACTCAGTATTGGACTCTAGTTAACAAATGGCATTCTGTCTCTGCATCTCTGCAGACTACATGACGTTAGTTGCTCTAAATCATGTACTAGTAAAAAAACAACTGAACGACGGTGCCCAAATCGGCAGTGAGAGAAAAGGCAACGAATAGATCCTCGAGCACCGATAAATTAGCGTTACCTGGAACTCGATGGCGAGCGTGGTCAGCGACTCGGGGACGTACTTGGTACTGAACCTACTGAACCTCCCTATCGCATCGAGCCTCGGCAACCCCATAGTCTCGATGCGGTTGAAAGCACCTAGGCTCCTATTTAGGTTTCGGTGATTAATGACGACACGAGATTAGTGTGACTAACGTGTGTTTTGCAGAGGCAACTTGAGTTAGGTCATGGTAATGATGATTGTTTGGGCAATTATGGTTTTCATGCCCCTATCGATGGAAATCATTTCAGTTTTTATAGGTTGGACGACAAGGTTAAGGATGGACTAGTTCTAAGTGTTGTTTGACGTTGAAGAGACACTTAGGCCCGTTCGGCTTGCTGAAACTTAGCTGAATTGGCTAAAAAACACTGTTCTGACAGAATTGTTGTGAGAGAAAAACACTGTTCCGGCTGAAAAAACAAGCTGAATAGTGTAGATTATAAGGTAAGCCGAATGGAGCCTTAGAGTAGTTTAGAACTTTGTTTTTCATTTGGCCATACTATTAAGGGCGGTATGAACTAGTAGCTTGACCTAGGTGAGTCTAATGGGTTAGGTGTGGTGCACACTTGTCAAACTTAGCACTAGGTAGCTCAGGAATAGCCTAAAGATAAATTGGAGTCAACCTCATTCACAAATGATTTTGAACTAGAAGTGAATGAAGGGTCAAATATTGACCGGACGCTGTTTTAGTGATGACCGGACTCACAGGTGCTGCGTCCGGTCAATGATCAACACGCATAGCAGAAGCCGAGGAACGATCGGACGCTACACAGTGATTGGAACCAGACGCGCCTCTAGTCGTATCTGTAATAGTAGGGCCTCACTATCAGGGAGGATCGGACGCTGAACAGTAAATGACCGGACGTTGAGTTTGCAGCGTCATGTCAACATCAGAGAGGGTCCAGAGACCAAAATTCCTAGCTGAAAGCGTCCGTTGGATGTTGATCAGACGCTGGCCAGCGTTAGGTCACTCCAATCGCCTTCCCTGATAGGCTGACGCCATGTAGCCGTTGGCTGCTGAC